AAAATTTATTAAATGGTTCAAAACCATCTGATCTCAGCCAATCAAAACATATTATGCAACCAAAAAGTTAAATATCATATTGTTTTTAACCATCTAAAGGCTCTCACATTAATGCAAATATATTGATGACTTCACTCTATATTTGTTTTTGTTTTTTTTTTTTTTTTCGTTTTTGGTAGAGTTGTAGAAACCAAAGAGGAGACCTTAGGATAGTTAGATGATAACTTTTGTCATTTAATTTATGAGTAAATAAAAGTGGAGTTGCTGCGTACAATATTTTGTAAAGCCAATAGTAACTCCCAAAAATAAAAAATTAACAACATAAATAGCATGAATGCGCACCCAATTCAAAATGACATGAAAAGTAATATTATTATTATTAGTATCTAGTAAGCTAAATAACCCACTCTTCCTACCTACAGACACTGATATATCTGTAGAAAATACTTTTGGTGATACCTTATATAAGCACCACGGCGCCAGAGGGGCATTGTTTAATTATGTAGCTGTTTCAAAGTGGTTACAAAATTTTATTGTGTGTATATATATATATATATATAGTTGATCAGAGATTGGGCAATACAATAATAAAATTAACAGTCATCTGTTAACTATAAAATTAAAGTAACAATTTATAATAAAATAATCAAAATTGTGACAAACCTGGTCTTTAAGAACCTAAAATTATAATATCATCCTCATGATATCAATTTAGTTTCACAACAAATCAAGAATTATAGTACTATCCTAAAAACTATTATAGTTTCTACAATTACTCTGTATTTATTATTCAAACTAATAATTTTTTGAGTAACAAATAAAATTTATCAATGGGGTCATTTATATAATGGTATAACTCTCGCCCTTTTAAAAATAAGTGACTAGCTAGTTCAAATATCACAAAGAGCAGTTTGTGAAAGTAGAAAAATAAAAAACAAAAATTAATTAGATACGAGAAAAAATGGATGGGTTCAAATTGACATGTTTATAAGACTTGGGTCTCCTCGGTCGGTTTAGATATAACTGGCTACTTGGACAGAAGCCAATAATAATAAAATTAATCAATAGTGAATAAATTAGAATCGAGTGGAGTACGAGAGTGGTTAATTAACCCATTCTTTCATTCGTCCCCACTAAAATTGTTTGTTATTGTATTTTATATATATTTTTAAATTTATGTTTCTTTGCATTTATACTGATAAAATTTTAAAATTACCCCACTAAAATTATAAAAAAACCTAAAGGGTCATTTGGTACAGGGAAATTATTCTCATTGTTGTATCATTAGAATTGCCCTAAAGTGTCATTTAGTAATTAGCAAATTTCAAAAGCAAATATGAATAATACTTGGCTTACACACTAAAGATGAGCATTCAATATACGTACGTATAGTAAGTTGTTGACAGAGAGATCGACAGAATCATAGTAGTGGTAAAATTCATTCATATTTTGCATGGCCTCATACGTATATAGTACTAGTTCATACACACATAGCATCATAAGTTCATAACTTGTAAATCGATAGAAAACCCCGGCCCCCAGCCTTCTTAGTACTATATCAACGTACATACACACTGTAGTGTACATAGTATTTCATTTCAAGAGAGCCTTCGGAAAGGTGGTGAAGCTTTATGTAATTTCTTTTTAACTCCAGTTAATTGAGAGTATTTTGAATCAAATCATATTTATCAAATATGTAGTTAGATATAGTTACATACATATATATATATAGAGAGAGAGATTTTTGGAGGGAGAGCAGGCTTTTGAGAGGGGTTTTGCTTTGCAACTCATTTGTTGTGGTGTTGGGCCTGAAACTCTGATAAAAATTCAATACAACTGTGTTAGGGCTAAATTGTTCCTAAAATTAGAGCCTGTAGAGTTCATACGTTAGAGTGGTCCAATGTTTCCCAATTCGTATGATTCGAATTAAATGCCTATTAAATCTCTCTATCCGTCCCTCAGTCTCTCTCTCTCTCAACATATATGCTTACCCACCTTCTCATTATTTATCAATTGCTCCAAACACACTACATTGTGAAGTCTAAGGAAAATTTAGATGCACTTAATGGGTCGTTTAAACTGATTTTCGAATTGCAAATTAGATAGTGACATGTCTAATATAAACACAGATTTTTGGAGACCAGAAACAAATTTTTTTGTTTTAGAGATTTTCATTTTCGTGTCAACTATTGATTGATACTGTGACGTGACCATACAATAATTTCTCTGAGTCCCTACAATTGAAACAGTGAAACTTAAAGTAGGCTCTGCAGCATATCTTTCGAAGTCGATCACAAGGACTAGTGTTGACTGCAGCTCATCTTTCAAAGTCACAAGGACTAGTGTTGTTTAGAGAGAGAAAGTGAGAAGAGAGAGGAATCATGCAAGCTAGCTAGGCAATCAGAACAGATGCCAGCGCTGGGACTCTATCTGTGTTGTGCTAAATTGTTCCTAAAATTAGAGCTTCTAGACCTCATGACACCTGGTGGTCCAATGTTTCCAATTGCAGTACTAATTCGAATCATATATAATACCTAGTTAAGGAGTGAGATTTTGGTGTGCCCGGTGCATCAGGTTAATCAGAGTCGTGCATAATGTACACACACCAACAAATACATATCACGCACAACTCTGATTAATCCGATACACAGTGCACCAAACAAACTCAGCGCTGTCTCTCTCTCTAGGGCACAAAAATCAGACTATAACTAACCGTTTGGCTCGGTTATAGAGCCCCAGGCGTACAACAAAATGGCCTCCAAGCCCAAAGGCAAACAATTTTTTTTTTTTTTTTGGATAAGTAAAGGGCCCATAGGCTAACATAACACTGGATACCCCAAAATAGGAAGGAGCCCATAAAAAGGGAAGCCCAAATTAGACTAACAAGCCTAAACTCATAAAAAGAAGCCCAAATAAGACTAACAAGCCCAAACCCCATAAAAAGGAAGTTCCAACAATATATCTGCCTCATACTTTTTACATATTTGAACCTAGGATCCAGTCAGTGTGACTTTGGGATGAATGGACATTATGGTCTTTTCCTGAAGGGCAAAGCAGCTATTCTAAATTTGGTTGAAGTTGATTGATTCCAGAAGGTATTTTACTAGAGACAATGTTGGCAGTTAAGAAACAACATGCCCATAAACCAAGTGTGGTGAAAATACTAACGATGCATGTAGACTAAAAAAAAAAGAGAAAAGAAAAAATGATAGGATTAGAGAAGAACAAATTTTGAGATCGTTGAAGTAATATTAATTGAAAATATATTCAGATTAAATGGTTTAGATATGTGTTAAAAAGACTATAAATATGTTATTTAAAGAGAGTGACATGATCTACTTGAGGGCAATGTTAGAAAAAGTCTCATAAAAAAAGCTTGCTCAGTAACATCTTCCTATAATTATTTACATCATAGGTTTTCAGTGCTTCAAATTTGTTTTCCTTTGCATCTGAAAGTTAATGTGAAATTAATTTTTTTGTTACGGCATGTTTGATTGATTAATTGTTGACAAAGGGAACATGCCATTAGATATCCACTATTTTGGGCCCAAACTAGTGGATCTCTGCTGACAAAAAAAATCAAATATGGTCATTAAAAGTCTGTAGACCATAAGGAAAGTTGTTTATTTTCTTCCCCTAACTAAAGTTTGTATGATCAGAAAAAGGGCAAAAAAAAAAACAAAAACAAAAGCAAAATGAAGCTGGTTTGACATTGGTACGACAATAATTTTGTTCCTAACTAACAAAGAATCTAGATTTATGAGTCTTATAACATTTGAAATTTTTTTAATCAAAATTTATTATATTTGTAAAATCAAAATAAAACATATTAAGCTATTCATAAACAAATCGAACTTAATGAGAACTTATAAAATGTATCCCGTCAAATTAAGTTGTTGGCCAAGCAGCTATCAATACTACTACAACACATCACCCATAAGTTTACTCAAAATGATCTTCTTTCTATTTCATGTTAGAGGGGTCAATAATTAGTTTTAAGTAAAGAGAAATGGGTGAACTATGAATCAATCCCCTTGCTACATTCAAAATTAAATATAACTGTGATAATCTAATAAAACATCTTTTGGAGTCATGTACAATATCAGTATCACAATTTCATTAATTTGGATTTAATTGGTTGAATCTTTTCATGAAGTGCATAAAACAAAAAGTGAAAGTCATATCTAGATAAAGTGAGAATAAAACCTGTAGGTTAGAAAGGTGATATGAGTATAATTAAAAAAAAAAATTAAATATAAAAAAAAGAAAGTTGCATAGTTTCTAGAATAAGATGTAATCAAAATTGTTGAAGCGGTTGACAAAGCTGACAGTAAAATTTGTCTCCAAGAAAATTGAATATGTCCAATCCAATGCTGAATTGCAACTTATGTCACTCGTTTCTAAGGTTAATTTAATTAAATTATTATTTATAATTTTTTAACCAATTCCTACACTATTTAAGTTCTTAGACATATATTACGAAAGCAAGTTTTTTTTTAATGGTATCTTTGTTGGACAAGTTAAATGATAATTTATTTTAAATTTTCTGTTATGTTAACTCTTATTTTTGAATTCTAATTTTATAATCATGACTTTAGAGATACTTTCCTTTAAATTGTTAATTCAATTTTCATTCAAAGTGAAGCCCAGTTTAAATAATACAAATAATTTGTAGTATTTATTGTGAATTCGCACATTATCTGAGAGTTCAAGTTAATTAATGGGTAAATTAATTATTCGCGCTGCATACATATTAATGAAAAATTTCTTTTATGGTGCGAACAATTAATCTTGCACCATCAATGCTAGTACCACCCATGTTTACATGTAACAGGTAAGGTTACCTAACAATGGATAAAAAAGAAAAAAGAAAAAAGAAAAAAGAATAAAAAAAACAAAAGGGTAAGTGTCCAATTCCATCAAATGGCAATAAAAAAGTAAATAACAAAATTGAGTAAGTGGGGTCCATCTAAATAAATGGGTACGGACCCTAGCTAGTAAGAAGCGAGAGAAGGCGAAGAAGAAGAAGAGAGAGAATCCACCTAGGAACCCAAGCGAAGCGAAGCGAGACTCACGTACTCGATAGCGACTCACTTCTGAGAAGAGAGAGAGAGAGACGACGTTAGGTGTCTGTAATTGCATCGAAGAATCACACAATCTGATCAGACCACTTCATTTCGATTTCGATTTGGATTTCTTTCGAAGATCAATCGGATCACACAGAAAGAATATGCTGAACCTGCCATACCCGCCAAAAAAATTGTTCCTTGAAAATGAGCCAATTTTCGGCCACAATGCCCGTGATTTCTGACCCCACAATTGGCTCAAACGGATCAACTTCAGCTTGAACAGTCCCGTTTCCGTCTTCTCTTCAATCAGGGCACCAAAACCCTAATCGAGATTCTTCACCGATATGCGAAGGTAAAACCCTAATACCCTTTTTCTGAAATGGTGGGATTTGGAACGACCTGTGGTTTTGATTATACATCGTTTGTAATTTCTGATTGATGGTTTCTATCTGTATATGTATGCCTCTGTTATATATAGTTCTTCGGCGTGATCATATATCAATGTTTTTTTCTTTTACCTGATTGAAATGTTCTCCTCCTAAACTATATTTGGTTTAATGTCATCCCATTCGAGCTCATAAACTCATTCCTTCTGATCTATTTTCTGCACCTGTAGCCGCTCTCTCTCTCTCACACGCGCACACACGCAAAAAAAAAGAAGAAGAGTTATTTCTGATGTTGGCTGCAATTCTTATAATTTTGGGTTTCTTTCCTTTTTACCCTCCTCCTGTGCAGTTGTCATCTTATGTCCATAGTGCAGGTGCTGATATTATTTTATAGCGAAATGGAGGTAATTTGTGATAGTAAGAGGAAAAACAGTATGTGCAATGGTCTTAAGGAGTGATGACAATATATAACCCTGCCATGGTACAACGAATAGAAGAGTCCACTTAATTCTATTGGCTGGTTGGTTTAGATCAAGAATGTAAAGAAGATAAAATTAGCTGACAATATCAGATGGTGGACGTAAATTAATGTATATTTTTTGAATTCATATGAAAATATAGCGGATGTAATGGCTTCACATGTGGATTTACCTTTTGGGGATTAATTTATTATTCAGGGGTTAATTGTTCATTGGTTGGCAAAGTTAATACCTAAAGATTGCGATCAATAAATTGAGAATACTTGATGCTAGGTGTAGGATAAGATCCAAACAAGCATTAAAAAGTTAAATCTAGGTGTGGTTGAATGCTATAGGAAGGTTACGGAAAATTCTTATTTCATAAAATGAAAGAAAAACTTTTGGATGCATCCAAACTTAAGAACATGAAAGGTTGGGATATCAACAAATCGAAAAACACCTTAACGGAGTTTTTTTTTCTCTATTTTGTAAATTTCTCATTACTAACTTAGACTTAATAATATTCCATTTAAGCTTACTGGTATACTGGCACTTGTGAAGTTTATGGGTGTTATGAAATTTTACTGCTTGTTGAATTTATAGAATTATTAACTCCCTCACTTGAATCTTTCTAGAATCCCAACTTGGTATCTGTGGAAGTTTGATAACTCCACTTATTGAACCACATCTTATAGCAACTTTCTGGCCCTTTTCATAGTAGTATGCAAGTTTCTTATAGTTGCCACTCACTTTTAATAAATTATTAATCATTAGTTTTGTTAAAGTTTTGATGATTCTATTATATTGGGCGAGCTTCTAGCTAACTTCCATTATAAGAGGTTTTTGTCGCAATGTGCCTATGAGATTGCTATAATCTATATAACTATACAAACCCAACTCTTACAGTTATTGCACCCTCATTATGTCTTTGTAATCCCATGAATACCATGAAAGCAAACACAAGAAGCTTTGGATGAAGCCTTCAAAATAGATCCTTGTGGAGAAAGACCAGTATTCAGTGTATATAAAATCTCTTTCCTATCTTGAATCTAACAACTCTTTAAAATAGACCCAGTAAAGTTAATAGGCCTTCTTTAATGGACCCCAAAATGACCTATTAGACTTCTTCCCACACCTTTATTTATTTATTTTCGAATAGGTAAATTATTTGATACAAGTGAGACTTCGTCATACTCCTATATCTTGTATCAAGTACACTATTGCCCCTGCAAAAAGAAGAGTACCCTGACTTCAGATTATGGAATTGATACTATGAATCAAGAGTTTGTATGATCATTGTTGAATTTTCATAGAATCATAAATTTGACAAACTTTCATGGACCCTGGTTATTTTGATAGAATTATTATCTTCTCCACCTGTTACGATTTATGCATTAAGCCCCTGCTCAGTTTGTTATTTATGCCATTTGATCTTTGATCAAATTATTTTGGCAATTTTCAAAATATTTACCAAGAAGATTATATGCATAATGCATCAGCAGTTAAAATTACACTAGCACAACTGTTTCCTTAAACTTCATCGGACGGGTGAGTTTTTACCAGATGGTTCCGGGCGTGTTTACAATAAATTGGATATTTGGTCAAATCATCGTTATATAAACCATGTGGAGTCCATTCTTTAAAGTTATTCCACTTATGTATACTGAGGACCCACTATAGTAGATTATCTAAATGCAATAAAGAGAAACTGCATAGAAAAATGTGGAGTGCCATGAACTCCTTTTTGGCTGCAATGCCGTCAATTTGATAGCAACCTCAGCACTTTCATTCTCTGTACTAAGCCATTCAATGATATGAGAAGTATCAACAGTATAACCTGTTTTCTTACATTTGTTTAACAAAACTCCCAGTACTACAAATTTTTGTTCTTTTTCTTCGTTGGGGGGGGGGGGGGGGGGGGTGTTCTTAAAGGCGCACCTAGGCTCGTCACTGATGTTTACTAGGCGCGCACCTAGGCTCGTCACTGATGTTTCCTAGGCGCGCGCCTCGCCTCACTGAATTTTTTTTTTATAATTATGATTATTCTTTTTTTTTTTTAAGCCAAAAGGGTACTTTTGGCAACTTAATAAACAAATAAGAAAGCTCAAGCGTACGAGAGAAGAAACTTTTATTCAAAAGAATAAACAAAAGTCCAAGAGTCAAAGTGTCAACCAAATAGAGAAAGAGTGAGACCGTGAGATGGACGACGAAGCCCTAGTTACAGAGATGAACAACGAAGCCCTAGTTGTAGAGATGAACGACGAAGCCACGTCAGTTCTTTCTTCTTCTTCTTCTCCTCCTCTAATCCTCTCTTCTTATCTTTGTTTACATCTCTCTCTTCGTCTAGTTCTCTTCTCTCTCTGTCTTTTTTTTTTTTTTTGGGCTGTGTTTTTTCTCCTTTTTTTCTTTTACGCTTTCTCTCGCTTCTTGTCTACTTCTCTCTCTTCATCTACTTCTTCTGTCTCTATGTCAATTTTTTTTTTGCTCTGTTTTTTCTTTTCTTTTCTTGTTAATAGTGAGGACGCTCACTTTCATTCTTGGATAATGTCCCTGAAATTGTGTTTTCCCTTTGCAAAGTTGAATGTGCATAATGCTTTTTGCGAGTTTGGTTTAACTTGATTCTCCTTTGAATGGCCATCCATCCTACTCATAAATTTATTGTCCCCTCTCATCACCCCCCTCCTCCCTCTCTGTCTCTGTGTACAGTCACACTCTATCCCTGATGCACTGTTAATACTCTCATCTATTTGTGTTCTATTAATTGGGGTTTTCAAATTATGTAATTTATTGATGCTTCTCTTATTTTTGTGCTTTATTGATATTTATAACTGTATTTATATTGCTTAGTAGAGATAATAATAAAGGTAGGGAAGAATCTTATATAATAATAATTCTAAGAGATTTATTGTATCTGATGTGTGTTTTTCTTCTATCTTTTTGACCCCAATATTTGCTATGGCATTTGCATGCTCAGATACTGATATGAATAGAGAAGAGATTGGGAACGCTATGACTGTAAGAGCAAAACTAGCTGGTGCAGTGGTTTTAAAAAATAATGGCCACAGAGAGGATGAAGGAGAGTCAAAGATTGAACCGCATGCGGGTTTAGAGTTCGATTCAGCAGAGGATGCACAGGAGTTTTATAATTTATATGCGACACAAGTGGGTTTCAAAATTAGGATTGGCCAACTGTACAGATCCAGGGTAGACGGATCGGTTATTTCTCGAAGATTTGTGTGTTCAAAGGAGGGTTTTCAGACCAATATGAGAACAGGTTGCCCTGCATTTATAAGGGTACAAAGACTTGATTCTGGGAAGTGGCTTCTGGCCAATATTAAGAAAGAACACAATCATGAGCTTGGACTTTCTGGGGAAGTTCCACCCCAAATACAAAGGAAAGCCTTTCCAGCTCCAAGGTCATCAACTGTTGTGTCCTCTAGGACAGGAATCGGATCAGTTGAAGAAGAGGATGGACGCCCATCTGCATCGGGCATAATTGATGTTAAACGCCTCAAAAGGGAAGAACTGGAAGGAGAAGCCAAAGTTGAGCCGTACAAAGGTCTCGAATTCAATTCTGCTAATGAAGCATACAAATTTTACTATGCTTATGCAGCTAAAACAGGCTTCAAAATTCGGATTGGTCAGTTGTTTCGTTCAAAACATGATGGGTCGATTACATCTCGAAGATTTGTGTGCTCGAAGGAAGGACATCAGCACCCTTCCAGAGTCGGTTGTGGAGCATTCATGAGGATACAGAGACAAAAATCAGGAAAGTGGGTAGTTGACCGGCACCAAAAAGAACACAATCACGATCTGGAGTCTCCAATGGATGCTGGTACAATTGCCGCGTTTAAGGGATTTAGAGAGGAAGTAAATAGTGGGCTGGAAAATGTGGATTTACTTGAAACAAATTATGGCCTCGGCCTTGTCAAAAGAGGTCGAGAAAGTAACATTGGAAGTGATTGGTATCATATGTTTCTCGAGTATTTTCAGTCACGGCAAGCAGAAGATACTGGATTCTTTTATGCTGTGGAAGTGGATGATGGCAAATGCATGAGTATTTTCTGGGCGGATAGCCAATCTAGATTTGCATGCAGTCAGTTTGGGGATGCTGTAGTTTTTGATACATCCTACAGGAGTTGTACTTATTTGGTGCCATTTGCTTCATTCATTGGGGTTAATCATCACAGGCAACCAGTACTTCTTGGGTGTGCTTTAATTGCTGATGAACATGAGGAGTCTTTTACTTGGGTGTTTCAAACATGGCTTAGGGCAATGTCTGGGCGCTGTCCTCTGTCAATAATAGCAGATCAAGACAAGGCCATCCAACAGTCGATTGCACGGGTTTTTCCTGGGACACATCATCGATTTTCAGCATGGCAATTTAAAGAAAAAGAACAGCAGAATTTGGGTGCACTACTTACCATGGATAATGAATTCAAATATGAATATGAAACTTGCATCTATCAGAGCCAAACACCCAGTGAATTTGATGCTGCGTGGAATATGATTGTCAACAGGTATGACTTGAAGGAGAATTTTTGGGTAAAGGAAATGTTTAGAATGCGTAAAAGTTGGGTTCCATTGTATATAAGGGGCATGTTCTTTGCGGGCATCCCTGTTGATGGAAGCATGAAATCATTTTTTGGAACATTTTTGAATGCCCAGACACCTCTCAACGAATTTATTTTACGATATGAAAAAGCTCTTGAGCAACGCCGTGAGGAGGAAAGAAAGGAGGATTTTAACTCATTCAACTTGCAAGCAGTTTTGCACACAAAAGATCCCATAGAAGAACAATGTAGAACGCTCTACACAATGACAATGTTCAAAGTTTTCCAGAAAGAGCTTTTAGAATGCTATAGTTATGCTGGTATGAAAATTAACGTAGAAGGTGCCATCAGCAGATATTTGTTGCAGAAGTGTGGGGATGGAGATGAGAGGAATACCGTTGCATTCAATGCATCAAATCTTAATGTAAGTTGCAGTTGTAAAATGTTTGAATTTGAAGGGGTGCTTTGTAGACATGCACTGAAAGTGTTCCAGATAATGAACATAAGGGAACTTCCATCTCGTTACATTTTACATCGGTGGACGAAAAATGCGAAGTATGGTATCCCACGGGATGTCGAATCAGGAGGTGGCTCTCAGGATTTCAAGGCTTTGATGCTGTGGAGCTTAAGAGAAGAAGCCCGGAACTACATTGAGGTTGGGACAGCATCTCTAGAAAGATATAAACTTGCCTTCGAGATCATGCAAGAGGGTAGGAGAAATATTTGTTGGCAAAATTGAGATGTAAGCTGCATAAAGGTCAGATACTCTGCTTCTTCTTTTCTTTGTTACTTGATAACAAGGTCAGACATCTCGGCGGTGATCAATTCTGTGGTTTGAAGTGTCTAGTTTTCTGGTGGGTGTCAGCCATGTGATTGGCGTCCATTGACCCCATTTACATTCGAATCAGAACTTTGTTATGCATGTGTAATTTGGATATTATCTATTTCATATCTGTAGTCTGCGCTTGTAAGGAAAGGAGGTTTTTTTTTTTATTATTTTTATCATTAAATTTAATGCAGGTGTACATTTATGAAAACAGCCTCCATGAAATTCTAGTTTTACCCTTTTATTGCGTAATTTGCTGGTGCTTTTAAGGCAAATGTACATTTATGAAAACAGCCTCCATGAAATTCTAGTTTTACCCTTTATTGCGTAATTTGCTGGTGCTTTTAAGGCAAAGTGCCATAATCTAAATCTAAGATATCTGAATTTGTCGAATTTAAAAATCCATTCTTATCCTTGTGTCTTTTTAAGCTCAACTCATATGAGATAGGTTGGTGTCCTTCTAGTTTCTCCTTCAAATGTGTTTGGTTTGTCAGAAAAGTGAGAATGATATATGTTGTCTTGTGATTGAATCAGGTAGAAGGCTTTTATATTTAGTGTGGACCGTGGCGGTGATCTAATGGAATTTTTTTTGTCTAAATTCATGGCTATGTATTTTCAATGTCAACAAATGAAAGAATTGGTGTTCAGGTACTTGAGAATTGGACTTAGTCAGCTAGGATAACTGTAGGAAGATGCTTTTTCTTCTGGAATGATAATGGGAAGGAGGCTTTTAGATGCCTCCAATTTTGGGTCATATCTAACTTGTTAGATTGGTTTTGATTTTTTCTTACTTTGGTAGAAAGACGATAAATTATGACTAGTCTGAAGTCGAGGAACTTGCACATCGACTGTTAATTAGTCACCCATGGTCGGAGAACAGAGAATTGGAATATTTGAAGAGTTCTTCAGAGAAATACTGTATTGGCATAACATGATTTGTGGCATGTCCTGTGAAAATGTGGCTTTGAATAACATTGATGCTCCACGGAGTTATCAAAGATGGAGTTGGAAAATATGTACCAGCATTTCTTTTAGATTTTCTATGGTTTACGAGTTTTGTCACGACGCATCGGAGTTGATACATTGAAATGTTGTTCAGTTCTTGATAAGTCTATGAATCTTAAGCCAGCAATGAGCCATTTTCCTAGAAAGTTGCCTTTTTAGTTTCAAGATGGAATAATTTTCTGGAGTTGAGAAGATTGTGATCTGTTTTCAACAAAAAAGCCATCTTATGCCAAAAATGTAAGTCTTTTCTAGTTCGTCTGTGTATGTCTGTCGAGCCATAGAACGCCTATTCAAGAAGCAAAAGAATTGGTCCTCATAATGCCAAAGGAGATCCATTTTTGTTAAAGATACCCTAGTAATGGCGCTGTGACTATTAAGATAAAGAAGAAACTCCTTGCAAAACATGTTACTTTTTAGGAAGTTCTAAAACCAAAATTGAATGACAATATAAAACATCGGTGTCCAAACAATGCACCTTATTTTTTAATTTTTATTTATTCTTTAGACTAATTTTATTATTAAGGCATAAAAGGAGATTAAGTTAAGAAAACAAGAGAGGAATTTTAAGGAACATGGATCTTAATATAAAAGTATAAATATTTATTTACTGTATATGACAAACCATTGTTTATTCCATGGAATTGTCGAGAAGAATTGAAAATTTTTTTGGACACTTCATCTATTCCTGATATTGCATCTTCACTGAGATTTCCAGGGTGATACAAGGCTGTCCGCATACGCCTCTACATCAAAAATTGCATTAACATGTAGTACAAGATCCCTATATGTTCTCTCAATTGTATTGTATAGAACGAAGATCGTGCTTATAAGAGTTTCATCACTATTTAACAAAGCCGATGGCTGATCCGCGGTCTGCAGTGTATAGATTAACAGTGATCGGATGGTCGCTAAGCAGATTGTAAGTGACTATGAGCCGGAAACACACCTGACCTGAATCGTTTCAGAGACTTGAGAGGCAATTTTAATAGTATTTCGGCAAGGAGATGGTGAGGAATGTAAGGCATTACTGTTGTACTCTCTGTCACCTTCAAGTCATTGATTTGTCTGCGATACTTTCTTCTTCTTCTTCTTCTTCTTCTTCTTCTTCTTCTTCTATGATGCTACCTTCGTTGCTTTGTCTGCTATCTTATAATTGACTTCTTGTATGCCGAGCGAAGAACTGTTCTGTAGTAAACCTATTCACCTTGAATTTACGAAGTACACAAGTAAATTAAGTAATTGATTTCAAATAATTTTTTTTCAATACAATGGGAATGTTATTCTCTAAGATTCAATTGGCTAGGAGACGTTTCAAAATGGGATTCAAATCCCATTCAAACATTAATTTCAAGATTACAGTGTTATCATTGTTTAGATTACTCTCAGGTCAGAGGATGCCATAGCAAAATTGATACCACAATGCAACAACAGTGTCAATAAAAGTTATGTGGAAGAGAAATGAACTTCTAAATAACCATTTGAAATTCTTAAAAGATTATCAAGATTGAGCATGTTTTCTAAAATCTTTTTCTTTTTTTAAAGTAGATAACCTAGTACTGACAGTGATTATCAGATGCGTTTTGATGTTGGACTTTGTGATTGATTAAGGTAAAATGTTAATGAATTGGGTTCCGAAATCAGAGAGAGCCACGTAAATTTTTTTCTTGGACAACTCAAAATTACCTTTTAAAGCAAAATGTCACGATCCGATTCCTAACGACGCCATGAGCATAGAAGATACGCATGCTGGTTGGCTAAGAACATTCATTGACTGGGAATGGTTCCAGGGAAGGGGCGTGCAGGACCACAGGATGGTACCTCTTCAGAGTTCAGGCAGGTCGACTCGGTTCAGTTCGAGGTGCTTGTCGCTAGTCTTGGACTTGACTATGAAGAAGGGAGTTGGCCATCCCTGCACAAACTGGTCGGGAGCTGGAGCCGTTCCCCTGACGAGGCCATGGCAGGCCGAAACCAGTCAGCATGTATCCTTGGGAGGGCAGGTCGTGGTGGCTGACCAGGGCGCTTGCGCGAGCTGAAGCAACGCCTTGGTGCCGCACGGGCCGTGCCGCTGCGCCGAATCTCTAGGCCCGTGACAAATGGTATCAGAGTAGGACTAGGGGTAAAGCACGGTGGGGTGCCCCCTTGTCGATCCGGGGGTCTTGAGAATGAAGACGGTGCACTGAAAAAGCGTCGGTGGGCAATCAATGCTGTTGGAGGAGAGCCTCCATCTCCCCATGAAGACGCGTCCTTTAAGCCGGAGGGCCGCGCGCATCGGATGGCCGGAGGGCCGCGCGCACCAAAGTTCTTGCAAGTTCAAGAGGCGTGCAAACCGTTGTGAAGGGCGGGTATCAAGTCAGCCGGAGGGCGCTTGTTTGCTCGGGGTGTCGCGGAGGCGGCATAACGTGGGGTTGCGTCCCGAAGAAGTGGGCGTCCCTTTAGCCCGAAACCCTATCATTGGGCGAGTGCAGCCAGGGGTTGTACAAGGAAGCGATGGTGGGTAGGCGAGCATACCACTTGGAGGAGACAGGCTTTGGAATGTTGGACGCAGCGGAGTCAGCGCCGCACTGCGACGAGGGCGTCGCAGGATTTGGGTGGGGGAGAATGTCACGATCCGATTCCTAACGACGCCATGAGCATAGAAGATACGCATGCTGGTTGGCTAAGAACATTCATTGACTGGGAATGGTTCCAGGGAAGGGGCGTGCAGGACCACAGGATGGTACCTCTTCAGAGTTCAGGCAGGTCGACTCGGTTCAGTTCGAGGTGCTTGTCGCTAGTCTTGGACTTGACTATGAAGAAGGGAGTTGGCCATCCCTGCACAAACTGGTCGGGAGCTGGAGCCGTTCCCCTGACGAGGCCATGGCAGGCCGAAACCAGTCAGCATGTATCCTTGGGAGGGCAGGTCGTGGTGGCTGACCAGGGCGCTTGCGCGAGCTGAAGCAACGCCTTGGTGCCGCACGGGCCGTGCCGCTGCGCCGAATCTCTAGGCCCGTGACAAAAAGCTTCCATTCTAGTTTTTCATAAACATAAACTGAATATGGCAAAAAAGTCCAATTCAAGTTCCCATGAAAGTAAAATATAGATAACTTGTTTTTCTTTTCAAAAAATATATATAAAAATAAAAAATAAAAAATAAAAATGACTTAAAAGAGTACCGGTAGTACGAGGTCTCCTCATGAAACTTTTTATGAGATCCTTTTTATCATGACATGGATAAATATTAAGTAGGGATGGGACTTGGGCGGGTTGGGCGGGCCAAGGGGTTAGCCCACGGTAAATCAATGGTTCTAACATATTAGCTTGTGCCAAATTCAAGTCTTAAGAAACCCATTGTATCTCAACTCACACCATACTGCACAGTTTCACTGATTTTTTGAGTTTCTCAGGTCGTTCCAAATTTTAATAACCTATAAATAAATAAATTTGTAACAAATAAAATGTTAAAAGTATATAGCCACATGAACTTGACATAAAATAAAACTTATCATATCATGTGAAAAAAAAAAAAAACCAAATCATGTGTAATATAATATGATGTTATAGCAATAATTTATAATTTTTAATAAAAGATATATTAATCATTCTAAGTTTCAAGACAGATAACATGGTCAAAAAATTTCCCATAATAAAAACTTGGAAAGAACTCAATAGTTGATATTCTGTAATATTTAGTTTCCTTAACTAAAAATTTCAATTATTTTTTTACTTTATTAAAATAAGAAAAATGTTATACTTCACCAATTTTGATTTGTGATTTTATCTTGAATTAGGTGGCTTTTATTTGTCAGCTTAATTAGCTGCTTTGTGTGCTTTAAAATTAATTTTTTTTTTAATATAGAAAATAAATTAATATAAGAAAGAGATATAAAATAGCAAAACTTACTATTATAGCATCCAAACCATTTTATAACTAAATAACTTCAATTCAATTATGTCAGTATATATCTTCTTTTAGGAGACATTTTTTATTAAATCTTCAAATAATTAAAATTAGAAGTTACATTATTATTATTATTATTATTTTTTACCATGAATGAATAGTCTCTTAATTTACATAATTCCTTTAAAGCTTTTTATAATTTTAATTTGAAAGAGATACGCAAAATATGTAGAGTAATTAAAAAATAAAGAGAGTGTAGAAGAGAATATATGTAATATAATAAAAAAATATTTGTAGAGAAAAAAAAATATAGAGATAAAGAGAACCTTAGTGTCATTGTTCCATTCGTTTAGTTTGTTAAAATAGAAAA